ATCACTGGAACAAAATCTGCACTTCTCATTGGAAATACCTTTCTCCAACCCACAATAACAGACAGCTGGATCTGAATTGCTCACCTGTTTGGGAATATACGAAAGGGTAGAAAAGTTAGCATTACAACAATTGTAGCCCTTTGCTCTCAACCACACAAGAGAAACAAATTCGTGTAAAAAGATCTGTTGCCATCTAGAGTGAAACATCGTGTTTTGGCTATATTTGGAAATAAACACATGTTTAGCCTCTCGCCCTTCCATTGAGTTGAGACCAAGGCCAAACCCATACTTTTCCTTCATGTGCTGGGTATGGGCAGGGACAAGGTGACCAATGGTCCAAACTGTGGGATTAACATAAAAGAAAACAGCATTAGCTCTAAAATAGTTTGTGCACAGGGTCTTCAGTTCACTTACTTCCTCATCTGAAATAGCTAAGCGGCTGAAAAGAGAGACACAGTCCCTAAGACAAAGACAAATGTATGCAATAACATGAAGAATTGTGGTCTCTCTACCAGCACTAGCTCTGCTTTCAACGGCGATGAAAATGAAATGATTTGCCATTCGCTTTTGTGTCATCGAACCATTTGGTGACTTTTTTTTGCCAACCTGGATAAGCCACATGCACGCATAGCTGCAATGTACCTCTTGAATGATGAATGTGCAGGCACCTGAGAAAAAGAATTAATTTCATCAGTTAGTTTAGACATTGCAATGACTTCGCTAAGAAGTTGCTGATGGGCACGTGCACAGGTGTTGTTTCTTCAGGTGCAGTGGATCCACATGTGCACGGTCAATTAGTTTGCCTACAACTGGCTCAAATTCCTGACGGCTATGTTTTTGAGCAATAAATGAAGTGACCTTTGCTCGACGAGTGCATGTAGCCTTTTTTTTTTCTCCGGTGACTTTTTAAATACATCAACCTGTTTAACCACCTTCGTTCTGTTCTCATACTTCCATGGCTTCCGCAATACCCTCCCATCTGTTCCAAAAGTCCCATCCAGTCTGGTCATTGTGTCACTGCTCACATCTGCAAAAGTTGAAAAGTAAGTTGCAGAATTTGAAAGTTCTCCAGCAAGAAAAGACAACATTGTCATGTCATTTGGGAGTTCGGAAATGCGAAATTTGACATCAACAGGGGTGCCATTGCAATTTACTGTAAAAGGGGTCTTCTCTAAATCAATAATGTCATGCACAACCTTCTTTAAAAATCGTGACACAGGAACACAGTCCTCCTTACAATTCCCACTAAACAAAAGAAAATTTTCATTACTGCTGAGAACGCCTCTCCCTAAATTTAGAAAGCTGACCAGACAGGCAAATGCAGTGTCATCTTTTCCAAATGGTGCTCCATCCCCACCGAGAGAAACATGAAAGGTATTAACTTCAGCTCCGAACCAAACCAGCCGATATCTGCTTTGAGAAAGATAAAATTCTGCAAGTGACAACAACAAAGGTTGGATATCACGGTATATACCATCCACTTTTTCTTCTTCATCAAGTCCATGACAAAGGGTCTCCCTTACACTGTGAAGTTGACCAATGTCAATAGACTTGATGAAGGGCATTAGCTTATTGTAAGGAACAAGCCTTGGGACAGGGCAGGAACTAACTGCAATACGCACAGCCTTTGAGCTACTTCGTTTGTAACTGCTATCCCTATATGTTGCACGGTACTTTCGTTTCCCCATTACTCCTCCACTATAGTACACCGCAATGCTTCTCAGCATATTTTCATCAGATGCTTCATACTTCGTTAAATTTTCTTTGTAAACTTTAGGTAGAACCTTCTTTTTTATCTTTTGACTTTTAGAAAAAACTTTAACTAGTATGTCATTAGAACATTTTTTAACAGTTGTTTCGCAAAGGCCAACTTCTCCTGGGGTTCTGCAATTTGTTCCATGTCTCCCTCCATGGATCTGGCATGCTGCCTCAAACAACTCAGCTCTCCTCTTCCTAGCTTGTGACTGACTAAGGGGTGACGTTAGCACTGTTGGCATTTTTTGTCTTAACTTTATAGACTTCTCAGGGAGGTACATGTGCTTGGCTTTCTTCTTACATGGTGTCTCAAGCTCACAGCGTATTTCTTCTGTCTCCTCTAGCTGTCTAGCTACCTTGTTTACCTAAACATTGTGATGCTAACTATCAGTTTGAGGTATTCCTGGGAATGTGACAGTGGCGGTAAGATAAAAAACCAGCAGTATCCTGTCATTACCAGTATACCAGGCGCCTTCAGCTAACTACCTAGATCTCCCTTGTCCGTGGAATCTAAGAATTTCTCTAGAAAATGTGGGGCAGGGTGATTAGAGGGAGGAAAGAAGGAGACCAGCAGTATATAGATTCACCCAGTTGTAGGACACTGGGTTACTATCTACACGTATGGGAGAACTACATCAATCAAGCAGCATAGCTGAAGCTGAGTACTCCATGGAGCTCCAAAAAATTAACATGAGTGAAAATACATGACTTTTTTTCACATCACTTACATTTACTAGACCCTTATCATAAATGGAGGCCAATTTAAAATTATTTTGTATGCATTTAAATTAAACTAACCTCATTTGAGAGTAAAATTCTTTTGAATTATAAACTTCAAAATGAGGATAGTACAGGAAATGTTAATACCTGCAAAATAATTTATAATTGGCCCAATTTATGAGAATGATCTATATTGTGCTCAAAAAATTACTGTATCCTATGACACACTTTCAGACAGCAGTCACAACATTGCCATTACCTTTGTTTCGAGACGCCTCAACCTTTCCTCTTTTGCCTTCAGTTCTTTCTCCTTTTCTTTAATCTTTTCATCATTTGCCATCAGCTCCATATGTAGTATTTTAATCTTATCACAGTGTTCCACAGCTTGCTCCCTCTTAGACTTCTGCAAACGCATGAATGATCCCACTTGGAATCTACTGTTTTTTCGCCTCGCCGAGTTAGATCGTACAGTGGGACAAGAATTGACACGTCAGTGTCAACAAAAAAAAAAACAAACAACGTCTATGCTAGCATCTCCAACCTCCTTTAGACTAATAAAAAGTAAGAGCATATAAGTATCACAATTTGAAACTGACACAGGATGTGTCGTGGTACCTGACTGAAATGTGGTACTGATTCAAATGTTGAATTTATGCTGTGTTAAAGCAACAGTAGGCCTTGTATAGGGACAAGTTACAACCGTTTATACACCAGCCACAATTGTTTACTATTGCTCTATATTCAATTACGCTAAAAATAGTTCTTAAGCATAAAAAGCGTAAGCTCGCATGATAAACAAAATCAAGTTAAACTGCAGAAATGTACTTGCTTACCAAGTTTGCATATTTCATATATTCATGCCATTCATTTTATAGCTCACGCTTATTGATTTTTTATTACTTGTAATCACGCACGAGAAAACTCGCGATCGGTAAGCTGCCTGGCCATCTCAGAGCAGTTGGTCTGTTTGGCAATACTTGCAAAATTACACAGTCAAACTTCAGTGAGCCCTCAGGGCGCACGCTTCTTTCTCAAAAAACTAAAAACATACGATCAACCTTTGACCCTCTGTTAATGCTATGAAAGAAAAATAAAGACATTTTAACAGAAACAGATGAAAATGAATGGAAGCAAAAGAAGACACCTTTTCGAATCAGAGGAATCGGGACAAAAAGAGACACAACAAACACAGCCGTGATGTCTAGAAAAACAAAGAAACGTACCCATGTTTGGTAGCAAACGAAAGATCTTGAATCCCTCTTCAAGATGGCTTCCCGGTATTTAGCTTCCAACCTCAGAGGGCGATCTGGGAAGGACTAAAGGAACGTCATTTGACGCAATGTAAATTCGTACCCAGTCTTCTACAAAAAGGGCCTGGTCCAATATGGCGACCAGCCACGCGGATGGCGCGCGATTTTGAGTCATTGTGTGCCCACCATGATGCGTCGCTGCTTTATTCTGAAGTACTTGAATAGAATCCTTAAAACTTTGTTAATTTTGTCACCCCATACGATACTTGCATTTTCAGCCATATGAAGAGAAAAAAATCTTTATTACAAAACCTCAATTAAAATCCTATTTACAATCAGCCTGCTGTTACAAAAAATCTAATTAATTCATCAAAACACTATCTACAATTCCATCCGTTACAAAAGAAACCCCTCGTCCTTCATTAGAGAACAAAAACAATCCTATATATTATAAGTGAAGATAGAAAAAACTATTCATTTACAAATTCGAAAAAATAGAAGTAACTTAACCTTACATAAAAGAAGAGGAAATAGATATAATTAATAATAAAAGTTCAAAATTCTATAAAATTAAGAATTCCATTATTCAGAGATATTAAGATCCTGCAATCGAATTATACTAATGACGGCTAAACCAGTGTCCATAAAAAACCCTAAGTATAAAAGCATAAAGACACGTATTTCAGATATCCGCACTAGCAACATTTATTTTACAGTCCAATGATTGCTCTATCTTGCTACGAAACGGCGTTCGCGAACCTCTGACACATGCATGTACCGATCTTAAGAGTTCAAACGAGATCTGTGTCCTGAGCCAAGTGATTACAACATGATAAGGCTCGGTGTCTTCCTGAGCTATCTTGTCTGCGAGATGCTTTAAGAACCGCTGACACTCGTTTCCCATTCTGCCATTGGTTCCAAACACTAAAAGCGTAAACGAACCCATTTCTACATCTAACACCCACTGCTGGTACTTGCGCTTCTTCTCTTCTTCTTGCTCTTTGAACAGTTCCGATGTTGGCTTGCTCTGGTAACACTTGGAGTTGACGTGCGTAACTCTAACATCAAAAAATGCCTTAACTCCTCTTGCCCAGAAACCTCAGCAATAGGAATGACCATTGTTGACAAATAGATCCTTCTTGCATAAACTGGGAGATGCTTGATTGGTTTTAAGACACCTAGTCTCTTTGCTATTTTACTGTGTAGTTGTTCAATGTGGTCATGCCAAGTAAGACGCTGGTTTATGATCACTCCAAGATACTTGAATTTGGTAACGTTCTCCAATTGATCATTGTTGGCTACAAGAGCTATGTCATTAAATTGACTTAGTTTGTTACGTCCTCCAATAATCATAAACTTCGACTTAGTAACGTTTAGTGTCAGCTTATTGTCATGTAACCAAGTTGTAAAAGCTGCTAAGTCTGCATTGAGCTTTGATTGCAAATTGGTTGGCCAGTTCTCATGACAATAAAATGCCATGACATCAGCAAACATCGTCATCTTTGAGTGATGCAGTTCAGATTGAATGCCATTAATATACACCAAGAATAACAATGGCCCCAAAATGCTGCCCTGTGGTACTTCCATGGTGATTTTTGCTGGGGGAGATAATACATTAACACACATCATTTGTTGAACTCAACCAGAGAGAGATGAGCGGAACCATTCCAAGCTTTTCCCTGCTACTCCTAGTGACTTGAGTTTGTTGATGAGGAGCAGATGATCAACAGTGTCAAATGCTTTGCGAAGGTCCAGGAACACTGTTCCCGTCATGCATCCTTTGTCCATACTTTCTAGGACTTGATCTGTAAAGGCAATTAAGGCAGTGGAAGTTTAACGTTTTAGTCGGAAGCCAAACTGTGATTTGATAATAATCTGTTTTCTTCCAAAAGGGAAGTTAAGAGGCAGTCTCCCTAAAAGCAGTCCACGCGATTTCGCGACAAAAAATACTTTTCCTTTATTTTTTTTCGTGAAGAGGCTCTAGTAGGTATATACTAAAATCGCTATTTTTGTTTTCAAATTCTTATTCTTAGCTCTGCTACAAGCCAAAAACGAATTGAGTCTGTCTCGGCTTCTCAGAGAGTGTTTCAAGACTAAAATTGATACATTTTGAAAAGCGTGTTGCAAACAAACAAATGCCCTCACAAAAGTGTTCTGTTCGATTCAGTTTTTTTAGTTAACCTTCTATAGTTCACAGGCTAAATAAAAATATCTTTGATCATAACATGTTCACTTTACAGTGGTTCAAAGAATACCTATTTTGCAGGCTTAATCCAAATTCACGTAATGTTATGGTCACGTGGCTACGTAACCCGTCGGCAGCCAAAATCTTTGTGATCAACGAAATTTCTGTTTCTCTCCAGAAAAAAATGCCCTAATTAAATGAGTTTTTCCTCCTAAAATTGCACAAAATGTCTCTGCATGTCTCCCTCTTGCACGCCTGTTCTTTCTTGCCCCCACTACTTCCAAGCGCCTGCTACTCAGACTATGTGTTCTGAGAGAACAATTTAAGTAAAAGATAGTAGTAAATTGACTGAAGAATACTGTAAATATTAAACAAATAAACCGAATAAAATAAATAGATAAATGGTTGACAAGGTCTTGGGGGGGGAGGTACTGCCATATATGGGCTATATAGGTATGTGCGCTGTTAAGGGTATTGTTTCCAAGCAGTTTACTCTAAGATAGGGTATGTATATTAGAGCGTTTGGGTCTAGAATAGGGTATCATTTTTCAGGAAACTGATCAGTTGGTTGAAGATTTTATCCAGACTAGAGATTGTGGTATCAGGTTTTGCTTTGGCTAGACTGTGCTAGTGACCTCAGTAGATTCTGGTAAACAGCTGCTCTAGGATAGTGGGGATTTGGGGAGTTCACTCTAGCATAGGGTAGCAAAATTCAGCTGAACTAGCTCTAGTAGAGGGTGCGTCTTAGCATGGGAATTTGGTTTCCCCCTACTACCGTCCTGTTAACCATTTTTGTATTTTTGTTCGATTGTATATGTTAGTATTAGTTCATTTGTATCAGTTATGTATGGTTACGAACTGTGATTAAAGATTAAAGATAGTATAGGTTAAGGGTTCCAGGGTCCCAGCGGGATATCCCCACCCAGAAATTGCTAACGTACCCCCCCAGACACAGTCCTGCCTTTGTTTATAGTGGTCATACAGAGCCCACTGCACCTGTCCTCAACTCTAACAATGCTAGCAAATTGTAAAGCTTCCGAAGGTATGTTATCGTAAAAGCTCGCATTTGGACCCGCTTTATTGTGCTAGGCAGATGGGCAGAAAGGGCGTTATATCAAGCCACGCAACATTGTACTCTAGGACAGAATGTAAGAGACCGACGCAGATAGCCACAAGGTCCACTGCACTGATTTCCTGGGAGACACCTCCCCCCTCTACCTAGAACCTTGTGCGAACGAACTGTTTTGAGTACTTGTTGATCAATTCGTAAAGGGGGTAGCTGAGGGTCGCTTTACGAAACACACCCGTGGCTCTTTACATTTTTTAGCATTAAGTTCATCAAGAAAAAATTTGGGACGCAGATGGAAATTGACAGTGGCACTTTTTCGTTTTTCTTGGGCTTAGGTGGCCCATCAGATCCTATAACAAGTCACTGGAATATATTCTTCGATATTGTGACACACTGAAAGCCACTTGAACCGGAAGAACGGTACTTCATACACGCTTCATCAAGCAATATTGGTGCATTTAAAAGAAATCGGGATTATGAGAAAATTTGCTGAGAAACAACACACCCAGAGAAACTGTATAACTTTCGGTTCACTGCAATTCGGTCATGCTAGTCTAATCCGGCAGATTCCCTCTTTTGCCAGCCTATGCGAACTTTTGGTGAGCATATTTCGATCACTGTGACAACGTATATTTCCATAAAAAATTGTCTTAATATCACAAATTGAGAAAAAAACAATTTATATCCTTATCGTGGGACTAAAATTCCGTAAATCTGAACAAAATTGAGCCCGGATACCTGAAAACCCAAAACCCCCGGCCAGGCCTCTCTCCTTTAGAACGTCAAAAGCACGTAACGGGGATGTCAAAAAGTTGTCACATTAAAATACTCTACATGGAAACAACAAGACTCCCTGAAGGTGCATTTTTAAAGACTATTGCATCTGTTCTTTGGAAACGTTTTTGTCGTAC